AAAGCCACAGAAGCCACGAAAGCCACGAAGCCACAGAAGCCACGAAAAACAAAAACATCCTTTAAAAAACAAAAAAACCTAAATTAAATGGCCCTCCTTTATAAACTCATTGAGGCAACACTAAACATCTTTAAGCCAAATCTTTGTGCGTTCTAAGTGATGGGTGTATAGGTTCTTGCCGGTGCTGCCCGTGTTCTAAAACAAATTTTCTTAGTGTGTGTTTTACTCTAACCACATGCCTGTTGTTTGTTCTAAGTCATAGAATTTGCCGTTTGGGACGAAAACAATGTTCTAAGTATTTCTAAGTGTTTGTCCGTTAATATATAGTTCAGTCTATAGCAATCTATAGCAAAACAGTCTATTGTCTATTAGCACTATAGGGTCGCCCTCCAAACAGGGTCGCCCTTCCCTTCTCTTCTCGCCTGAATGCTCCAGGCGAAAAGGCTCGTGGGGCCTGAGGACCCAGGCTGGTGTTCCAAGCAGGATTCTCAACTGTATCTCAAGCCCACCCTTTTGCAACCTTTGGCATGAAGTAAGGTGAAGTAGTGAAGTCATGGAGGAGGATTGGTTTCAAACACTAACTTAGTATCTTGTTGACTTGTCCTCCAGGGGGTCTTTGCGGGTTTCGACCTATTGAAAAGTTCATACACATGTTGTTTCCTTTAAAAACTACACTGTCCTTTCCACATCTGACTATCCGACACTTCGACTGGGTGACGAACACATCTGCAGTCTTCCATCCACTAAACGGACAATCTGCAGTCTTCCTTCTCCACTCGAAGAACGATGGTCTGCAGTCACCTTGCAGTATTCAAGACTTGTTCTTTAAAGGATCGGGATCGGGAACTATTTCGCAAGCTGGTCTTTGCTCAAGCTCAGCCGCAGCCCCCACAGCCCCCGCTGAGACAAGGGTTCTTCAAGGGATCCCCTAAAAAAAACAAAGTATGACAAAGTTCCAATGCCCATTTCTCGATCTGAAAGGTTTATGATGGTTTATGCTCCCAAACTGATAGTGCCCCGTTTTCATCCTAGGGAGTCTTTCCACCCTGTGGACAGGCACTATGTTTGTTCGGGGGACTGTCTTTTCTGCCAATATTTCCAGTGCCTCAGAGAAGGCCGGCAACACATCATAGAGAGAAACTCATCCCAATCGTGGCCGACCTTCTTGGCGGGTCCCCACAAACTGTAAATACTTCCTGTCAGGTCTGAGACGAGAAGAACTACCAGTATACACTAAGTAGAGTGAAAGGAAGACCCCCAAGTCACCCCAAACCACCTCCAAGTGCTTACGTCATCATAATCAAGCATCATGTATACGGTGTTTGGCTTGTCTTTATAATGGGCACCGCTCATGTGTCAGGGAAGGGGTGGAGGATGGTGGACCCAGCGGAGTTGACCAAGGTCTCAGTACGTCTCGAGTTCTGGGCAGCCCAGCTATACGAGAGCGTCAAGTTGAGCTTCCTGTCCGTTGAGCTCCCTGTTTTGCCCCGGGGTGTTTTTTCTTTCACATCACTTACACTGAGTCGGACTGGAAAAACGGAAGAATACATGCTTGCGAAACAGAAAAACACCTCGAGCATATAGCTTGGGGGCTTTACCTCTCCCACGGAGGCCCACTCGGCCTGCACGGGCCTTGAACTCGGTTCCCATCTACCGAGTTTAATAAAGTGAACCTCTGTTGGACTGGTCCACTGAAGTGGTTGGGGATTGAATTCTTCGCATTGACCAAGCGATTCATCAGGTATAGGAGGGTAATACCGTATAAGTGAGTGAAGTGAGCACTGTGCTCTGTCGCCAAATCCCATCCAAACCCTAAGCAATGCTAGAGATGTTAGTTTAGATGCGTTTAGAAAGGCCAACCCTTCACCCTTCATTGGGGAAAAAGGCCAACACAGATCTAACGAACCTACGTTGTTTTCAGGTTCAAGCGGTATGGGTGTGTGACAGTCATGCGGTCACATTGTTCGTTCGCCAAGCACGAGTGCTTGGTCACATCGGTCTGATGACCAGAAAAGACCTGAAATCGCAAGAGCGCACCTATTGGATGGCTTGGCACGGAACTTTCGGCAATTGTCGCAGTTTGTGGATTTTTTTTGCCACAAGCGCTCGCGTGGAATCTAATATGTTATGTCAGTTATGTCATATGCTGTTTGATAGTGATAGATGTTGTTTTATGTTATAATTCCTCTCCAAAACAAGAAAACCATACCAAGAAAAAAACGCACCTCTGGCCTCTGGCTGTCACAGGTCCTCTATCAGTTGGTTCAAGATGGTTGATGAATCAAGCTTGAAGCAGCAAACCAACGCAATGTAGTCGTCCAACACAAACAGGCCTGTTCTCCCAGGTCTCGTTCAATTCCAAATAGTCCTGTGAGCACAAAACCACATGCATGGGCACTTTTGCAGGATCATCAGGATCATCTAAAGGAATTGAAAGAAGCTCTGGCAGTTGACATGAATTAAGTATAGAAAATGAGAACCTGATCGACTGAATGCAACTGCGACAATTGGGGTAAGGGATCTAAAAATAGAATCAAAAAAATATTCAACGGGGATCAATAAGAAAATAAAAAGGTAATCAAAAAAATATTCTAGCCCACTGAGGATGGTTGGGGTAGTAGTAGCAGTAGTAGTCGTAGCAGTAGCAGCAGCAGCAGCAGCAGCACCAGCGTAGCAGTAGCAGTAGCAGTAGCAGTAGCAGTAGCAGTAGCAGTCAGCAGCAGCAGCAGCAGCAGCAGCGCAGCAGCAGCAGCAGGAGGAGGAGTAGTAGTAGTAGTAGTAGTGGTAGCAGCAGTAGTCACGGCGTTCACACGAAGTTAGGCCCTACATGGCGTTGTCAGAGCGCTCGGAGACAGAAGGACTAGGATATCAGGGGACCAGTGGACCACAGGACCAGAGGACCAGGAGACCGGAGGACTAGGGGACCAGTGGACTAAAGGACCAAGGGACCAGGGGACCAAAGGACCAGTGGACCAGAGGACCAAGGGACCAGAGGACCCACAGACCACAAGGCCAGGAGAGCAGCAGAAAAGGCCTATCAAGGAATATTTATTTTTTGATTCGCTTTGTAATTTTGTTTTGATCCTGTTTTTATTTTTATTTTGATGCTCTTTTTATTTTTTGATACCTATGCCGACAATTGGGCTTGGTCAAGTCTTTCTTTTCGAATCTCACATGGACTCTGCCAGGTTTGGGCTGCCGGAATGGCTAGCGAAACTTCACACTCTTCAAGTCAAGTCTGATGGAGAGCCTTTGCTCCTCCAATGCCGGCTCTACACGGAGCTCATGCGCCCTGAAGCGCATCTTCTCCAGGCCAGGCACCCGGAACTCCATGGCTCCGCTCGCCGAGAGGGGAGAGGTCTCGTCCGTCAGGCCTTGGAGGAACTGCTCCAGTTGCTTCTGGCACTTCCGTGCCGTCCAGTTCTTCAGGTGCATGGCCTGAGGTGGGTCACGAAAGACCAGCTGTAGGGCACGGACCGGGTAACCCTCGGCCAGACGCAAATCCAGCTGCAGGGAGATGTAGTCGATCTGCTGCAGGAAACGATCCACGTCGGACGCACCCCATGCTGCAGGCGCTTGTGGCTCCGGCTGCGAGTGGTCTGCTGCGGCGTGCGAGTGGCGGAAACTGCGCTGCTCGCTCTTCGCCGCGGAGATTCCGCTGCCGCTAGAGGACACACTGCGCGTGTCACCGGAAGTCGCTCCAAGGAAAGGGGAAGACACCAAGGGGCAATGTTCAGGAATACGGTGCATCTCACCCTCTAATTTACTGATCCCAATGAGGTGCCTTGTAGTGCCAATGAGACCACCTGGCACATCCACATGAAAGAGTTGTGCCTCGAAGGAATGACCGTGGCAAGTCTTCATGCGCAAATGCAAGGAGGACGGAGAAAATTGGACAAACCGTTCCTGATCTTCCTCCCAAATAAACTCCAAGAATGGCAAGGTCAATGGTATGCCGTGATCCACCATCTTCAGATCTTCCTCCTGGCAGCAATTTCATAACACTCCCTGAAATCATGATGTTCAAGTACACAGGTGGCAAACCATGAATCCAAACAGGTGTGCAGTTTTCCTTTACAGAGTTTCCGGAAGTGAGTTCAGGTAAAAAAATGCCAGTCTGCTCATCATCTGCTGCTGGGTTTGTAGATCAGCTGGGATACGGCAGCTCTTTGGCACTGCAGATTCCGAGAAAAACCCATGGGACCTCCGTTTGTGCGGTGGACTCCAAGTGCGGTTTAATGGATCTATAGAGAATCAGAACCAAAAGAACCAAGAGTATCTCGAAATGTGTGAACGTAAAAACCTTTGTGGGGCAGCATAAATGGACTATCAGCACCTGCTCTTCCCATCTATTTCATCTACTCCCAAACTTCTTCCCATCTGACTATCACTGAATGTTGGACACAACAATCCAACAAATCCTCTGCTCTTTGGCTGCCAGGCTTCGGGATTATTGATTTGCAGCAAGGCCAAGATGCTTTGTGACGGCTCAGCAATGTCCCAGTTCTCCGTCAGCTGTTCACAACAGTCGCAGGTCACGGACAACAGCCGGCGAGCCGCCAGAAGAGTCTCCTGTGAGTTCCAAAAAAAATCATCACCATTGGACAAACTATCCATGTGTGGACTAGTAGTTAGTAGACTAGTAGTTAGTAGTAACATATATGCATATATTGTTGCGATCCTTGCCCTTCCATGTAAGTAACTAAGTAACTATTCCATACATGGATGGTCTGGGGTTGAGCACTGGGAGCCTGGAGGTCCCCAGTTGGAGGGATGAAGAAAATGCCCCGGGAAACAAATCAACGAACACATATTTTTGGTCTCATATTCACAAAGCAAACGTGGTTTGGGATTTGATAAGCACTTGTTGCATCGTTGATTGAACATATGCTAAAAACAACCAAATATATTGTTTAAAAAACAAAAATTCTTTGAACAAAGGCTAGAAAATTGAAAATTTGATAGACACACAACAAACAAAATATAGAACACATGCTAGAAGCACAAAAAATAAACCAACCAAATAACTGAACATATGATAGACACACATTTTTTTAAAAAACAATTATTGAACATACGCTAAAAACACAATACACAGACAAATCAATTAACTGAAATTATACTAGAAACGTAACAAATAAACAAACCAATTTAGTCAAATGTGATAGAAACACCAAAAAACACACATAAGTGAACATACGCAGGAAACGCAACAAAAACAAACAAACAAACCATGAATAGAACATGTATATTCTGGACACATAAGAAAACAAATCAATTCGTTGAGCATCTGTTAGGAACACACCACCTGAAGAGACACAAACCAATCATGCTAGAAACACAACACATAAAGAAACCAATTGACACACTCTGACATTGGTTTTCAGTTAGCTCAGTTCCCAAGTCGAGAAGGAAGGTGAAGGAAGCGCAAGGTGAAGAGGTCAGCGCATTTGTATTGATTGAACAATCTGTTGACATGTCTGCGGTGGCGAGCATCTGCACGACTCAGCTGCACGAGAAAGCGACGAAAGAAAGGTGAAGGTGTCATGAACCACCATGGAATCAAAAAAGGAGCATTGGAACAGCTTGATCAAAAGTTTGGCGCAGGTACACACAGTTGGTCAGACTGTGCATCCACCGAACAAGCATAGCTTTGTTAGCCAGCGGTTGCTTGTCGGCCGCTGGCCCCCTGCTTGAACAGTGGAAATTGTGGGGTGGAACCCTTGGAAACAGGGGTTGACACACACACGGTGCCGCTTGGCGGCGCTTGCGTGGAAGGCCTGAATAGATACCTAAAAAGCCTTAGAAACAAAAGAAAGAAACACAGAAAGAGCACCGCTAAGAGGGCAAGAGAGAAACATAGGAGTAGAAAAATGAAAGATGAAGACTTAGCCCTTGACTGGGGTAGGGAAACGCGCCTCAAGAACAACCTAAAAAGCCTGAGAGAAAGCCCAAGAAACGACCAAAAGCGTAAGAAAGAAAGCGGGGGGCAGGGAGGGGATGTATGTGGCATGTGTGTGTCCGTGTGTGTGTGTGTATGACTACCTAGCACTCTAGGGTTACTGACTACTTAGCAGAAACGAATTACGTGCAATAGTTAGGGAGCGGGACTTTAGTCTTAAACCGCCCGGGTAGAGTAGACTAGAAAAGGGACAACAGAGGGAAAGGCACCGACACACAAGTGTGTCGAGTACCATTTCCCTGTGTTGCCCTAATTAGGTGGGGAGTAGAACTCGGCGGGGGGGGGGTTGGGAACCTGCCTGGCCTTGAGTGGAAGTGAATTTCGTTGTTTAGCCCGGCGGCTGTGGGAGCATGTCGTGAAAGCCCGACGGCTTTTAAGGCAGTTAATCCAGTGGTGAGACGAAGGCTGTTATGAAAATCCAATGAGTGGTGGACAGAATAAGTCGGTTAAACGATTTCCTGCATGGCTTCAGCGCCCCTTTCACGGGGATCACACCCAGCACCCAAGTGGGACGGCTGAGCGGTTCACACTCTGACATTGGTTTTCAGTTAGCTCAGTTCCCAAGTCGAGAAGGAAGGTGAAGGAAGCGCAAGGTGAAGAGGTCAGCGCATTTGTATTGATTGAACAATCTGTTGACATGTCTGCGGTGGCGAGCATCTGCACGACTCAGCTGCACGAGAAAGCGACGAAAGAAAGGTTTAGGGGAAGGTATCATGAACCACCATGGAATCAAAAAAGGAGGATTGGAACAGCTTGATCAAAAGTTTGGCGCAGGTACGCACAGTTGATCAGACTGTGCATCCACCGAACAAGCATAGCTTTGTTAGCCAGCGTTTGCTTGTCGGCCGCTGGCCCCCTGCTTGAACAGTGGAAATTGTGGGGTGGAACCCTTGGAAACAGGGGTTGACACACTCTGACACTGGTTTTCAGTTAACTCAATTGCCACGGTGAGAAGGATGGCGATGGAACGGAAAGGTGCATGGGTCAGCAAAACCGTATTGTTGAACAAAGTTTCGACAGGTGTGCGGTGGCGAGCCTCTGTACAATTCCGCTGCGTGAGAAAGTGGAAGGGTTTGTGGGAAGTATCATGAACTACCATGGAATCAAAAAAGAGGATTGGAACAGCTTGCGCAACCGTTGAAGCAGGTACACACTGAGACGTCTCTCAGTGCTTCCCCTCCAGCGACTTAGCTTCGTTGGACAAGGTTCATCGCTGGAGGCCTTGCCCCCCTGCTTGTGTGGAAAGTGGGAGTGATTGGAAAACCCTTAGAAACAGGGTGTGACACACACAACAAGCCGAACTCGGCGCGAATGCAGAGCAGTGGAAAAAGGTACCTTTTTTCAAAAACCGCCTGCACGCTTGCAGGTCGTGCCCTTTTTGGGCGTAGAGTTGGACCAGTGCTTCTGCCGCGGCTGTACTGAAAGATTCCTGAGCTCTGGTGGATCTGCAGTGAGGAAAGGTAAGGTGAACTTATGGCGTGAAATGCAATGCGAAGTGGCGTAAAACATGTGGAAGCTGATCAAATGGCTGCGGGTTAAAAAGTTGGGAAATGCAGTAAACAACATCGTGACAATGCAAGACGGAATGAGTCAGGTAATCATAAGGGAATCCATCGTTTATGGCCCGGCGGCTCGAAAATCCGTTAATTCAGTGATAGAAATGAACAAACCAGGGAAATATGAAGGGCCAGTGAAATCCGGAATGGTTTCGGAGCCTCCTTTCGGAGGGTCACACCCAGCACCCAAGTGGGAAGACTGAGCGGCTCACACTCTGACACTGGTTTTCAGTTAACTCAATTGCCACGGTGGGAAGGATGGCGATGGAACGGAAAGGTGCATGGGTCAGCAAAACCGTATTGTTGTGAACAAAGTTTCGACAGGTGTGCGGTGGCGAGCCTCTTTACAATTCCGCTGCGTGAGAAAGTGGAAGGGTTTGTGGGAAGTATCATGAACTACCATGGAATCAAAAAAGAGGATTGGAACAGCTTGCGCAACCGTTGAAGCAGGTACACACTGAGACGTCTCTCAGTGCTTCCCCTCCAGCGACTTAGCTTCGTTGGACAAGGTTCATCGCTGGAGGCCTTGCCCCCCCTGCTTGTGTGGAAAGTGGGAGTGATTGGAAAACCCTTAGAAACAGGGTGTGACACACACACACACACAAAAGAAACCAATTTATAGAACATATGCCACAGAAACACAACAAATATAACAACCAAGTTGTTAAAAGTATGCTAGACGCACAACAAATTGACCAACCTATTCTTTGAACATATGCTAGACATACACCAAACAAATGCTGCTAATATCTGGCGTAACTCTGTTCTACTAATTCTCAGGCGGCAACCAGCGAGGACGGCCTTGCTGTCGACATGAGTCGAAAGATGCGGCCAAACGGCACTCTTCAGGTGACAGCAAATTGCCTGATTTTTGGTGGCAAATGGTGGATCCACATTGGAATACGAACGGTAAAAGTGCAAGGGAAGGAGGCTCCACGTAAGGAGGGTCCACATAAGCAGTGTGGAGGGTCCACCTAGGTAGGGTCCATGTAAGAGAGTCCATGTAAGGGGCTCCACGCAGGGCGGTCCACACAAGGAGGGTCCACGCACGGAGGGTCCATGCACGGACAGGTCCACGTAAGGAAAGTTGATTTAGAGAGTCCACCTGGGTGGGGTCCATGCATGGGGGGTCTAGGGAAGGAGGGTCCACGTAAGGAGGCTTGCCTTACGTGGAGGCCTTTGGCGGGAGGGCCTTGCTGGAGGGTTTCATGGGCTTAGATGGGAGCTTGACCTTGGGACTTACGTGGAGGGCCTTGGCCTTACGTGGAGGCCTTTGGCGGGGCGTGAAGGGTTTCATGGGCTTAGATGGGGGGCTTGAGCTTGGGACTTACGTGGGGGCCTTGGCTGGCCTTGCGTGGAGGCCTTTGGCAGGAGGGCCTTACATGGAGGGTTTCATGAGCTTAGTGTGGCTACATGAATCGTTACCACCATGTGGGGCTATGTGGGGCTTTGCCGCTTTGGCAATCCTGCTGCTTCTTTGTTTTCCTAGTGGCCTTTTTTGGCGCTTTGTGGAGGGGTGTGGGATGGAGACTTTGGCGCTTTGGCAATCCTGCTGTTTTTTCTATTGTTGTGAATGATGAAGGAACTGCACATTTAAATATGCGGAGCCGCCTGTCGCCCCCCAAACATACGGACAGAATATGAATTATACACTACCTCCGGGAGGATTAACTCTGGGCCGCCCTCCACATATTTTAATGGCATAACCGTATGTAGATATAGACGTTTTAGACGCATTGATTCAATCAATGGACTGAATCTGCAGATCTCCTTGGTCTCTCTGGCGTCTTGCTCCCTCTGTTGCATCTGGACTTGGAGGTCTGTGGCCGTCTGCTGAAGTTGGCCCAACAAGAACTCAAAGTACTTGAAAATCCTGAGCAATGAGAACTCTAGGAACCTGAGGAATTAAAATCTTTGCGCTCCTTCAAACACATACAAATCCAAAAGTATCCAACAGTATGTATACCAGGAATGAACATAGAAAACCCATTTTGAACTGAGTGAACCAAGCATCAATAGGAAGGCAAAACAGCAGAGCGCTTCATTCATGAAGAAGAACATGACCAAGCTCAAATCCTTGGAGTCTGCCATCCAACCGCCTATCCGCAATCCCGCGCCCAAGGGGATCAAGGCGACTCTCAAGGCGAGACCAAAGTACGGATCGCCGATGAACAAGTGTACCGCCAGGCAGATCAAAGCATTGCCATGCTGCATTTCGTTGGGATAATGCACGTGACACATGAGTGAAGAAAAAACGCAAAGGCCGGAGAAGACTTTCGGTACCCACAAGCCTCGGCTTTGAACCACATCTCAGGTCCTGATTGGGGATTCTTCCTGAGCCTGACCTGCATGATATGCAGCCCCTTTTCCAGACGTTTTCCAGTAGTTTATAGTATTGGACCCGCTCATTCTACATTCACCCACCTGCAACCAATCAAAACCCTACAATGATACCCGCCCCGAGTTCCGTTCGGGACAAGAAGCATGTCCGCGCGGCTGGCTGGCACGACCAGCGGATGCCAATCATCCCAATGAGGTTTGTGAAGAACTGCCAGTCTTGCAAGAACTGTGTTGCCCACTGGGCTGGGAAGCTCACTCGAAATGCCAAAAAGATCGCTTGAGAAGGCACACAAAGATCATCAAACAGTAGGAAACCCTGAAGGTGAAACTCTTGGATTGAGGAGGCTGAGTGTCAAGTTGAAGACCTCAAAGGTCTTGAGAAAGGCCACGATCCAGGTGGGGGTGAACTTCTGCCTGTGCTGCCAGACCTTTCGCCGTAGGCTCTGATCCAACCCTAAAAAAGGCAAACAGTTGGCATAGGCCTCGTGAAGGCTGGGAGTGCCCCAGCACCAGGCGGCAGAGAAATAAACACTGAGCCAGGTGCACAGCAGTCCAAGGTCCCCCATCGGCGCGCGGAAAAACAGGTGAGCTTGAGCTGAAACTTGAACTCACAGAACAGCTAGGATCCCTGCGCCCAGAGGTGCATAGTTTGTCCAATCCTGTCACAATCTTTCTCTCCTGATCAACAGCCAAGCTGCGCTGAGCGGTTCGCTAGGATGCCGCTGCGCCCACTGTGATCAATTCGTGTCCGATTGGTTCTTGACGAAACATATTGGTTCCTGGTAAAAGGGAGTACAGTTAAAGGCTGCCTCATGTTTCACACATCCGTTCCCCATGCCTTCTCGAGGAGCCAAAAATCAGAGATGAAGAGTTGTGGCCTGGGCAAAGACACCAAAAATGCCACCATTTGGCCTCTATGCTGATAGGAAAAGAACATGTTGGCTGGTTTTGGGTACTCAGGGTCTGGATCTAGAAGGGCTGTACATGGACCCTCCAAACCCATGACCAAGCCCCAAAGGCTACGCGCACTGGTTGCCTACGTGACGTTGAGGGTAGGTCCAGCTACTTAGCAAACTCACATATCTTCGAAAAATTCAGCCCTATCACAAACAGTGTCCCTTTGAAATCCCTGACTTGCAACATGTGAGAACTAATCCCGAGTACCTATTAATAAACACTCCCCAATTAAAAACACAACGTCCGAACCCCTAAATTCGGTTTTTATTTTGTTTTAAATTGCCGCCCTTTCAAGCCGCTACTAAACTACCAACATGGTCGATTTTGGGGGTAGTTTTTTAAATTAGGTTCCCCAAAACTCCACCATGACACGACGCGCTTACACCAGCAGGCTTTCCTTCCCCCAACGGCACGGACTCACGCAAACGCACTTGCCACCGAGGTCATGCAACACCGCATGGCACAGCGACATCACCTTTCGAAAGCTTTAGCTGTTAGTCTACTGAAGAATCACTATTCTAATGAAGGTTTTTGTAGGGGAAAAGGAAGTCCCTTCGATCTGGATGTTTTTTGCATTTTTGATACGAATTTAATAAAGGATTTTACATAAAATTTTACTGGATTACTTCTTGGTTTTGAAACTCTTTCCAGGTGACCCTATTTTGGACCCCCCGATTTCAGGGACCCCCTATTAGAAAAAATGCGACTGTGTTTCTTTTAATAGGGGGGGGTGGCGTGTTTATTAGGTGGACCGGATTATGTTGGGTGTCTGTTTTGTCTCTACCAACAACAAACCACAAACCACCAGCAACCGCAACCAACAAAAGCAACCAACAACAACCAACCACAAACCACCAACAACCAACAACCACAACAACAACCAACAAAAACATCATCAACAACAACACGGCTCACATTGAAGAGCAAAACCACACATCAATACCGCTCAGGGGTGTCAAAGATAGGTCATCAGCTGATTGCAAAAAGCGGAGAAAAGGCACCCATAATGATTGCGATGAAGCATGATAATTTGGGTGTATATATGTAATATTTGACTGTGGATGACGATATTGAGTAACTTCATCCAAACCTTTCCCCATAAATTCTGATGATGGGTTGATCGACGGTTACTGCTCATGGGACGCACCCTTGCTTTGATCCAGGAAGTACAGTACAGGGGCCCTAACCTCGGACGTGACAAAAATTCGAGCCCGTACAAGGAAAAGGGTTGCCAATACAGAACAAACGGTTCCGTGCTGAATTGGGGTCACATCCGTGTGGCCAAAAAGAGTCCTGCATCCATGCCAGGGCCGACAGTTCGGATTCACCTCAATCTGTCAATTCAGAATTGCAAGCAGCACAGCTTGGACGTCATGCCTTCTTCCCAAACCGGCCAAAACGGTCCTGGCCCAACATGACCCGTTCACATAGTTTTATTACCTTTCGCAGTGCCCCAGAGCCCATGTCGCCAGATTGTAGGGTTTTCTTCACTCGTTCTTGAACCCACACAAGTCCAAAAACACCCCAACTCTGTCACATCCATTTCACCGTCTAAATACATGTGACAACCCCTGCCATCCCAAAAACCGTCACAACCTTGCCATCCGTTGCCAACCGTCAATCAATGTCGATCACCAAAGCTCCGCAGCACAAACCTGCACTGCGCAGACTGCAAACCCTCCATCCCGCGCTTCGTCGCTGTTCATCGCTGTTCGTCGCTCTTCTCGGCTGGGCGGACTGATAGATGCCCAGCTCCCGAAACTTCTTCAGTCGCTGGAATGGGCCCTGCCTCGGTGGGAGAAAGCGCTCCGACTAAGGGAACAACCCACGCGGCAAGGGTCCCGCGGGGGACCAAAGGGAACGAATCGATGTGAAGAAACACATGCAGAAAAGCTATCAACATTGAAATAAATAAGAACACCTTTGACCATATTAGACCGTGCTGTCCTGGCTTGTGATGAAAATTGATGAACATTGTTCAATCCTGACTACAAGCTAGCTTCCCTGCCGAGTGACAGACCAACAAAAACCACTGGAAGCATCTTTCACCGGCACTTCAACCTGTAAGAAAAACCGTCCACTCAACTGCCCTTCCCGTCTGAACCTCACCGATGGAACATGTCGGTTCTGAAGTTCGCCCCACTCCCCGTCATCGAGATCAATCCAGTGGGTCGACGGTCAACACCAAACACATGAACCAAAACAGAACAAACTCACCACATGTCATATTAAGTAAGTAATGTTTGTGTGCAAAGGTCGATAGATTGGCAAATCATGGACACCCATGACACAGCTAAGAGGCTATTTCTTTATACCTCTTGGAAGACTCTTGGAAGGGGTATGTATGGACTTTTCATGACTTCTTCATCGCTCGCGAGTTCGATAGAACTCACGCCCCATGTCCTTGTCTTAGAAACAGTACACAAATAAAAATGCCTGTTCCCCCCCTCCGGGTGTTCGCCCGGCCGCTGGGAAGCAGCTTCCTGGAAGACCTCGGTGATCGCCGACATAACATGCGGATTGGGAAAGTAGGGGAAGGGAGTTGGGACGATCTCGCTCTTCCGATAGACACATTTTTATATACAAACATATATAATATCACATTATATACATCGTTCCATTCATGTGATGAGAAGGGACCGAGTTGGACACAAGTCGATGCGATCTGGCAAGATCGGCGGTGGAACCCTTCCATCTCAAGCAAGAGTAGCCGCTTCGCCGGTGGAGTCCGTTGGCACCGGATGAAGTCACGTTGCCGGTGTAGCCGAAGTCACAATCAAAGCCTGTAAACATCCAGAGAAGCCACATAGATTCCCGCAAACTACTAGTACGGAATAGGAAATCCACATGTTGCATCAGTAGGACTGCTGCACACATCTCAGTTGTTCTGGACTTCGGAATGATTGATGAAGCATCTCATATGTCCCCTGCAGCCGGCGCTTCGCCGTCCCAGTGTATCCCTAGACGTTCACCCTGTTCACCTGTTCGACCAAGCAGCGGTGTGATCGACAACGGGCCGTAAGTCCAACTTGGTCTTGAAGTAGGGCACCTGCCCGTCGTGCATCGAGAATCACGAGAAAATCGGCTCGCTTCTTCAGTAGATGAGCAGCTTTTGTGTTATTATTTTGAGAGATAACTGCCTAAGGGGTATTCTATCAGTTGTTAATGTTATTTTTCAGACCAAACCGCTGGAATCTTGGATCACTGGGAAGAACAAGAACTGTCAAATTGTCAAACCGCGCGGACGCTGGTGGGGACGTCGGAGGGCTTTTGGGACCGTACCGCTAAAACCACTGCAGCCATACCATGTCGATGACGATTCCTGCAAAGCCATGCCAGTGGAGGCACTCTTTGACATATACAAACCCAAGACTCCCAAGACCTTCCAAAGAACCTTGATGTATTTGTCCGTTGCAAGATGGAAAGACTGCAGGTTGATTCTCTTGTTTGGTTGTTCCTGGACGATCGAAGAGGGAAGGGAACTGCAAATTTCCAACCAACGATGGTTGCGAGGGCAATCAAATCGTACGCAGACCGGACAACAAATGAAAACAACATCTTGCCATATCGGGCCTTCAGAGCGCTCAAGTTTAAATCCCACAAACTGTTTTTGGCAATCCTCTAATTGGTCCTGACTATATAAATAAACAATGCATCATTAGGGGGCAATCGTGTTTTCGGGCTGGAGCCCTGTAGGAAGAACATCCAGGTTGCCCGTCGCAGTCCTTCAGAACTGGCCTTTTCCTTCTTGCTGACCTCCACCGTCGTTTCCTGCAAGAATAGAAGCGCTGGAACTGAAACCTGAGACGTGGGTGTTCAATATTTTGGATGTGGCTGGCAATGAATCTTTCACATGTTGCAGCTTTCTGCGTGTAGCTGCTTTTGAAGAAGGCAAGAGCTAAGGACCCACTGGTTCAAGCCCTTATATAGTTTAGATAACAAATTGTGTGCCTCAATATGGGGCATCTTTGCACACAAAGCATCGCCGTAAGTTCTCGCTGTCTGAGTCCAAATCTTTCCTTGTCACAACTGATAATTAATTGGGTGTTCATCCGCGCACCATGAAAAGGTGTGAGCATAAGCAGGAACAATATTGTTAAACCATATTAAACGTGATCATATATAAATGCATATATATATGCAATATATAGCACACTCCGGAATCCTGCCGGGAGCAAAGGTTCAACACCTTGTGTTCTGATTGAAAACCTCGGGCTTTCATCTGAACCCTAGGTGTTATATATATACATGGTCCTAGTCTGCTTTGTTTTGTATAGAGGGGTCTTGACGTTGCGTACGTCGCCCAAAGTGACGCGTACGCCAGGGGGCGTCTCACCGGACCACGCGATGATAAAGACAATATATCATATAATGTATACACTAACGTATTAGATATGCAGGTGTTCGGAGGAACCTCGCCTAACACCTCCCGGTCCAGGCCATGTGCTTTTCTCCATGACCGTCCTCGAAGAGGTTGGCGTCACCTCTTCGTCGTGAAGGACGAGAGGTGACTATGATCCCAAGGACTCCGCTGAGAGTCGTTTCGTGGCAGTGATTCCAAGGAGCTACTAGTAGCGGTAGCGTCCTTGCTCCTAGTAGCGATGCCCTTCGTTCCTAGTAGCTTCTTGTTCCTAGTGGTAAGGACAGGAGCTACTAGTAGCGTCCTTGGATTTGCTGAAGGAAATTGGGGATCACAATATCTTCTCCAGCAGGGGATTCACTGATAGGGAAACTCTTAGAAAAATATAGAAACATACACAACCGTAAAAACAAGATGGAACACAAAGCTCTACCCGCCAGAGTTAAACGAGAACCCTTCGCTATGCATTTGGGGTAGGACTTTGAACAGGAGACTTTCCGTTGGGGCGACGTACTCCAGGAGAGCAACCCCACAGATTTGGGCAGCTACGTTGGGCTCTGTGCTTGGCCAAAAGAGTGGCACCCCAAGGGGTTTTTTGTGCTTGGCCATAATCACCCGGCCAGTGCGACAAAAAACATATATATATGACAACCGCACCGGGTCAGGGTGTGAGCGTCAATTTGTCTTTAAAGCCAGATGTTTATAGATGTTTGTGTCCTGTCTGAGTCCTATACTGGCCAAATTCTGCAAACGAGCTGTTGACATGCCCATTGCCAGTCGCAAAGAAACCCAAAATGGTCCAACTGGGTCACTGATAGGCTGGATTCTTTGATTGCTTTAACACCCAAACTAGATATGTCTGGACTATACTTGGATGGAGGTAATGTCAGGTGAGGAGTCAGCGCATTTAAACGACCCATTATTATCTTGCTAGTCCGAGTTGAATTATATAGATTTATACAGTATATATTATATTTGTTTTGAGCTGCAGCCACACACAGCACTGTTTTGACCTCTCATCCTCTTTCTGTCGATCTCTCTTTCTGATTTCTTCGGTCTCGCCAGTTCAGTTCTGTTCCAGGTTCCATTGGAGAAAGAGGAGAAAAGCGAACAACTGACTGCATGGTGAACTTGTTCATTGCTGTGGCTTAAAATGCGCAAATCTGAATCCGTCACAACCCCTAAGAGGTGGCCTATGCAAATCAGCACCAGCCATCGTTTATACAATACCATCACCATCTGTATAATTTGTGGAGCTACTTTGAAGCTACATGAACCTACTGTATCACCTTTTTGAAGAGCTAACCCCAGTACATAAGATTAGGGTGATTTAGGGTGTCTTCACAACCCCCCGCGCTGCAACTCTTTTTCTGGGGAGGCTGGGCGCGTACAAGTCTTTGCTGCTTCTGGTCCCTGAGTACCTCAGACGTCCAAACAGGGGAAGCAGTTCCAGGATCTTGTTGAGCAAAATGAACTGCAGAATTCAGAAACCTAGCCTAGATTGAACAAATGCAAAGGTGATCAACTGCGCAACCATCAAAAGCTCAGGTAGGTCATACACCGTTTCCATCCGTGCAGAAATGCCACATATTGCTCCTCGATGCCTCCGATGAAAACCATGAACGCAAAGCACAAACTCAGTCTGGTTTCAATAGCGAGTCTTGAATGAACCATGTGTGACCACAATGACCAGTCCAAACTGCACTTGATTTATGACCAGACCGGTCAAATCATCTGAGAGATGGTGAAAACTCATTGAACTGCCAGCTCCATGTTCATTGTTGGCGTCCTGGTAAAGTAAATCCCATTGGGACTCGTAAGGGCTTGTATGTCCAATGTCCAATAAGCCTGTGACAAGCTGCGCTCTTCCCTTCGGTCAAGGACACGACCTCCAAATTTCAGCTCTCCTCTTGGATGATGCCAATCACTTCCAACAGCACATCCTGCCAAACAAAAACTAGCAGCAACTAGCAGTGTACCAGGCTGGTCCGTCCAACAGAAGAGACGGCCTTTTCTTCTAGCCGTTGAACTAGCACAACAAACCATCTGGGCCACTGAGATTCAGGCCTTTATCTCATGTCTTGTGTGTGCTTCTATCAAGACTGACGTACCAAACACACAACACAAACTCTCAAACTTCCTGACCAGAACATTCTCGTGCTCAAACCAAAGGATTGGATTTGACGAACACGGCATTGCCATGCATTGCCTGCTCTTGAATACCTTGCAAGCACACTCAGAACAATCCGTTACACGGGGATGATCCCTTCTGTTTCTATCACACGCATATACATGCAAGTCGTGGGCCATCTCACCCTAGAAATACATGATGCGAGGCTCTCAGGCTCTCGACGTGGGCGTTAGATCTGGAAGCATCCTCCTGAACATGTCTGCATTAGTTTCAGGATGTTGCGGGGATGTTGTGCGAGCAACGCATTGGAGGATGGTGAAAGAACAGCTTTTCAACATGAAGTCAGGCAATGATGGGATAATCTGGAATGAGTTCTATCATTGATGTGCAAATGTACAGCTACCCATCATGACACTGGAAGTCTTGTTCTCGTCTGGAGTGCCCTACAAAAAGTAGATCATTTCCATGTTTGGCTACTCTGGCCTTGATTTCTTGATCTGTCTTCTCTTCGCTCTCGCGCAAGACCTCCAGCAGTTCCGTGAAGGGCTCCTCCAGGAACCACGCGCTCAAACGCGCTGGCTGCTTGACACCATCCGTGAAACGCTTGGGAAAGTCGTTGGGACTTGTTCCCAAAGGTTGGGTGCGTTTCATCTTCCAAGTGATGAAAGGATAAGAGATGATAAGAGTTAGTTGTTTATAAGTGAAGCAAACCAATTGTTCCAACAAGAACATGAGATTGACCAGTATAGCCTTGGTGTATATATGATATGTATGCATGCATCTTCCTGTGATAAACTGGCCAAGTATTTCTGAGTCTTCTCCTGGTCAACCACACACGTACACAATACAAGGCTACAATCCTACACTCAAAGTCCGCGCTGACCACTTTGCTCTGATCAGCCAAGGTCAGCCAAGGTGCTAAAAGCTCTTGGCCATCCACTGTCTTCTCGCCTGTAGCACTGAAACTCATCATTCTCCAACCCCCTACCAACCCCATGATCCACACGGATCCACAATCCCTAGTTTTGGAGTATCCGAGCGCCCTGTATTCTTGCTATGGTCGTCTGATGATGTGCACCATGTGAGTCCATGGTCGTCTGGTCATCGTCCACCAGTTCTGCAACTGGTGACGTGGGAAGACGTCCAGCACCACGGCTGAAACTCGCACTACGCCGCGCGGTTTTCCTCGCACCAAAGCGCCCTCACCTTTTCTGGTCTATCTCTATCTCCACCTGTCAACCTCTCACCAAACCCCTAAGGATACCAAACCGGTAGGATCGGTAGGATCAGTGTATGCATGACCTTCCTTGGAATCAATCTACAGACTTTGGACCTAGCATGACCAGCTACCAGCTACCATCTAGGGGTTTCAGCTACCCTAGAGTCCCACCAGGCAGGTTGGAGCTTGGTGACTCAAAAACATAGCTCTCCTTCGAACCCTACAAAGCCAGCAGGGCAAAAATTCTTGACAGAATGGTCTACCAGTTCGTCTACCAAGGGAATGTCACTTCACAAGTTCACACCAATTGCAGCGTCGAAGAAATCCACGATTTGTGCACTTCAAAGTTGCTGTAGGCTTCCATGAGCAGTTCGATGGTGGTCAACAGCTCGTCATCAAGCTCCTCTGGGATTTCTGCATTCCCAGTGCTGGGATGAAGCTTCAGCTAAAACCAAAATCGGGATGTGCATCCAATCATTGCAATTCTCATGTGTGGCATTGGCTGATTGGCTGATTAATTAGAGTTGCACCACTTGACAAACAATTGATGTAATCCCATGACGGACGGCAGGACACGATACATATATATATATATATATCTAATGTATGATATATATTTATAGATTATGTTATACAGCAATGTACAGCATTGTTATACTATTTTAGATTGACTAGGAAGCTTGTGTTGCCCCATAACACCAACCTCACATGTCCCAGGGTTGCCGGCTGTTCTGTCAACCATGTGCTTTCTCCTTGCGCGGTGGACTGAGCTCGTCCATCTTCATCTGATCAGATCTGATCTGCTCCATCTTCACCTCCAAAGTCGTAGCTTCTTCGCTTTCATCCTTCATGTGTTCAGGCTCTTCCTTGCAAGTATGCTCCACCCCGGAACATTGAACCACAGAGTGGTTGGTCGTAGCTGTTTGAGAAATGCAGTATCCGGATGAGTTGGATTACTTGCAATTGCCTACCTAGCAGGATTTGATGCAATGAATCTCATTGGTTGCTTTAACGGAAATGAATTGGTTGTGCGAGGCCATGTCTCACGCTGAATGCGTTTGCAAGCATCATTTCAATTTGTAGATTGCTGGACTTTCGGTGGTTCTTTGTATGTCAGTCCATGTATCTCAAGGAGTCTAACTGGTGAATGAGCCCAAAACCAAAGTGGATAACTTGCCCCAAAAGCGCCCAGAAGTTCCAACGCAGTTGGAAAAGGATGTTGCGCAGAATGGATCAAACCCTGCCCCAGAACTAACCTCAAACAAGCACAAGGCAAGCAAAGAAGCAGTCAACATGAAAGGACCTATCTAAATGACCTATCCACATGGAAGGACCAGGACTTCCAAAAAGCTGGTGTTGTTCGACTCAAGAAGTTAATCATGGAAATCTTTGTCCGGACAGGAGACAGGAGTGCAAACTGGGCCATCGGCGATCGGGAATTTGAATATTCCTCGACGATTTCAAAATTTCGACCACATTGACTCAGAGATCCCCGCCTGTTGTGTAAAACATTCTGGAATCGGTATTTTAGTAAAAGGGATGTTTATATCGTGGGACATGGGATGTTGGTGCAAAGAACCCTCCTAAAACCCCTTACAGTATATAGCTAAAAACTTGACGAACCTCCAATACCCATGTACAATGTGTTAATGAACACAAAATTGCATAATTAAATCCAACATCGCCGCCTTTCATGCTAAGCATCGGTTTCCTCTTCATTGGGCGTGGGCCCTTCCACCACATCTGTGTCTTCGGACTCCTTGGCCTTGCCTTTGGTCATCCTGAGAGATGGACCAAACATGACAAAGCGAATGAATGCTATGCTGCCTAGCTGCCTAGCTATGCTTCCCACACCCCACGTGTGCTTACACAGAACAAAGTAAAGGTTCTACCAACGCCGCGGGGTTGGTTTGGGGGTTTTCATGTGCTCTTTGTTGTTCTTCGGGGATCTAGTGCCCGAGTGCCCCCTACGTAATTCAATACAAACACACATCATATCTTTGGGGGGGGACTCTTGCAAGCTGGGTGCTGTTGCGGTTTGTGGCCAAGCACCATGGGCCATGGGCATCAATCGTGACACATGATACATGGCCTCCGCACTGCAGATCAAGGCCTTCCTGCGTAAACAGAATAAACATATCAACAAGTATAATAATGTTCTATGCGGCATAGTAAGCGATGGCCTCCACCCTAGTAGCGATGGCCTCCAACCTACTAGCGAACAGCTGGAAAAAGACCGGAGACGAAACCACTTCCTGCCTTCACGACACTGCCTTAACGTGTCAAACGTGTCTCTCAAAACTGCACCAATGCTGCAAAGGAAACACGCCACCTCTGTGGTCTGTGACATGCACCATATTCTCTTCGAGCACCTGCCAAGCAATCCGGCTGTCTCCAAGGCTCATAAAGACCATCTTCTCTTCGAGCGCTGCCAGGTCGGCTGCTGCTTTCTGTCGCTTCTTCTCCTGACAGAACAAAACGGCCCATTAGACAATGCTTGGCATTAATATTTGTCCAGAAGAGGCAAACACGAGGCAGTTTGCACAAAAGGCTAGTCTAGGTCTTAAGAACGAGGTTAGAGAGAGAATGTGGGAGACTTAGAGAACATTGATGGCAAACTTAGACTAGAAGCCACCGGCGTTTCCTGCATCTGTCTGTCATCCCAAGGTTTCAATCCAATATCCCAAACCACTCCTAGCAGAATCAGGCTAGAGCAGCAGAATCACGATACCCGGATGAACTGTTCTCTCTCCTCACCCAGGCCCATTCTGGGTGGAAGCTAACCACTTTCTGAGTCGAACCGCAAAGATCCACACATGAACCGCTGAAACTGGACATGGAGCACCGCTGTCTGTCTTCATGACGTTGTTTCCCACGTCCACCAAAGAGCAAGCCAATAAGAGGAAGAAGTAGGAGCAGGGATGAGTCAGGTAGGAGAACCAAGCAGTTCCACCCACAGTGACAACAGGAGCATTGTGGACGATAGACATCAAACATGCTTGTACCAAATTAGTGGAGGAACAATTCCTCAACTGATTGGTAAGTGCTACTGGGGTCGAGGTATTTGATGTGCCACCTGAGCTGTTGATTACTGTTTTCATGCTGTTTCATCATGTAGCAGCTGGTTGGTGGACAACAAGAAACCCTATATACAAATGAATGACTGTCCAGGTTGTCCGTCCAGGTTGTTGGTCCAAGCAATTCAGCCAGCTAATATAAAATAGACATTAAAAAATCCTGCCCAATGCGTGCCCTGTCGAATGAGTCTCCCGCCGTATGCTCTGTCTCCACAAGGCCATGGAACCTATGCTTTCTTTCGTGAAAGTATTTGATTTTCTCATCTAGACTGAACATTATCCACAGTATATGCTCAAATCCTAACTCTTCCCTGCTATATAAGTGTCTGGTCTGATCCATGGTACTTTGGGGTAGTGTAACATCTAGGATCACGCTCCTCTAAAAACACTACCACAGCACAAGCAGCGCCACCTCTTCTCCCAAAAGAGCTTGGCGAGCCACCTCCTCCGCGAAGTTAAGAGCTTGGCGAGGGTCGCTCAGGGGTGCAGAATTCTTGAGTGGTTGGTTGGGTGGATGAACCTCGGCTTAGAAACAGGGCTATGGCGTTCTGCGGGGGAGACAAGCTGGTTCTGGATCCTGGGTCCCACTGGCTTAAGCAAACCCTGGTCGCTGACCGGCTCAAAATCGCATCATGGTGGGAATTGAGGAAGCAGTTGCAGCATCTTTCTGAGGAGGGTAGCAAAAGGATTAAGACTATGTAATTGTGCATCATGTTTACACATACATATGGTAGATTCACAGTAGGCTGGAGAGTTGCTTACAAACGATGCTTGTCAGTTTGCCCGGGTCAAATCTTACCTGGCGACTCTCAGCAGTGTTTGTCAATCTGACAAGGCAAGTGCCCTCGAAGCAACGCTATTATACAGACAGCGTGAAACACCTTGTTGCAGGGGAAAAAAGAGGACCAATGCGGCTCCTCAAAAAATATAACCATAACATCCAGCATCACCAAAGCAGCCTATCAGCACCAAAGCAGCCTAGCCTGACATGATTTTAGACAAATGCAAAACCACATTCTCCGGGACCATCCCCAACACCGACCTACGGAACAACGGAAAAGGTGACACTTTCCACTGTCCGAAATGGCTCGGACATACGAATCCAAGAGAAACAGTTGCCACATACTGCAAAGCGCATCCGAAAGAATCCTCCATCATGTGAAGAGACCACTCCTTCTGAAAGAGAATTCCCCCAGGCCGCCAATCTGTGGCTCTGGTGAAAAAGGGATGACCTGCCGTCTCTGAAGCTCTGAAGCCGTCCTCTTGATCCTCCTCCACCTCTGCGTTCTCTGGTTCTTCACCTGAAGTGGAACGAAATGCAAAGGTTGGAGGTGTCAACGAACAAAAATGCCTTCAAATCATGGCCCGGCCACGCGCAACTTGCGTTTCGAGGTTCCCCGAAGAATCAATAAGGACCAAGGACGAATGACTATTGAGTAATCTCTCACAAGTCACAACAAGAACCCCAAAGGGTTCGGTGCAATCTGTCGTGAGACTAGGATCACCAAAGGACTGACCAAACCTTCACCTTCTGTCGAGGATGAACCTGGAGAGACGATCTCGACGAGAGACCAAAGACGATCTCGTCATACACCAAGAGACTCTCCACCGGCGCCGGTACTTTCTCCTCCACTTTGGCATCCACTTCGTTCTGACACACAGGACCTCAGGCCCAAGAAGTGACGGACCCGCGGGACGGCCCACACAGGCCGTAACGAAAGGACATGGTAAAGACCCGAACTTGAAGCAAACATAGCATCAAGTATCGGGTATTAACCCTGAATGTTTCACATTTCAAGGTGTCCCTTCCCAACCAACCATTCACCTTTGGTAGATAACATGATGAATGAGATACAAGAATATAGTTGGATGCCTTTTTTCTTATACGGAGTTCATACTTCAGGTGTATGACTCTGCCCTCTTCATTTTGGAAAAAAAAACTTCCTATTGGAAACTGCAGCCTGGAATGACGGAAACTGAACTTGTGAATCAAACTTATATATATATATACACCTTTTCCAGGCTGATGCTTGTGTTCACCCTGGATTCTGGATTTGTCCACATCCCCCCGATTTGGGTACAGCATATTTTTTTCCAAAACCAAAGGCAATGGTGTTAATATTTCGGGAGGGGAATTGTGCAACCCGCCACACAAAAGTATGATGTGGTGTTGGTGAACTTAAAACGATTCCCCCATACTACCAATGAGATTCCCACCGCACGCGGTGAGATTTTGTGAGGGAAACAGCAAAATATAGATATCGCTTTTCAAGAGAAACAAGCACACACAAAGCCAAAGGAGCACCAAAGCAGCCTGAGGGCAAGCCCTCCATCTTGGTTTGAGTAGTTGACCTCCTAAAGCCCGGGCACCTCCTATACCTGCAAGGCCATGTCTACTATCATACTGCTTTGGCCTTGATCCAGTTCCACCTTGCCCTGGTTTGGCAAGCTTACAGTTGCCAAACCATAGAAACCTCATGAAACCTCGATTCTGCCACCGATCAAAAATACTTGAATCCAAGATGCAAAGCAAAGGCAAAGAGGTAAACTTGGCACGCTCCTCGCCCAAATAGTTGTTGGTCCATTCCTCGCGGCGGTGTTTTCTGGTTCCCTCAGCAAATTCTTCAACTTCTTGCCTCAGTAAATTGACATGGTCCCACTATATTCCATAGGGATAGTGGATAGTGGGATACTTGACATTGTCCAGTTAATTGTTAACTTATTACCATTAACTATCCACTCTTTCTCTCTCTCTCTCTTATTCCATAGGCAGTTTTGGGGCCACACCCCAATGATCCCCACCCGAGGGAACGCTCCGAACGACCTGGAACGACATGGAACGACTCGGCGAAGCGACATGCGATGCCCCTGTCGCGGTTGAGTGGAGTTGTTCACATGGAACCAACCCATGGAACTACGCGACCGGCGACGTATCTAAGTCGGAAACCTATGGTCCGACCGCCTGCGTTTGAACGCCGACTGCCGCTCTGGTCACATTGAGAAACCACCATCCAGCAGGGTTGACCTTGTGATGTAGAGGGGTTAACCATAAGTGTTGCCCTCACCCTTGGAAGACATGCCTGTTGAAAATCGTCATGCCACAGCCGGCACCATACGGCACCCATCTGGGACAAAGTCCGCAGATCGTTCGAGCAATCTGAAACTTCAAACCCCGGGTCCAGCTCGCCCTGCAACTTCTCGGCCTTCTCCTCAGTGGAAGCTGCCCAGCGCCGCAGTTCAGCTCTAACCCACCACCCCAGATAGAAGTAGTTGGGTTTCAACAACGAAGGCAGGTAGCAACAAAATGCAACAAGAACATGCTTTACAAAAAAAAATGGAATGCTCCAAACAGCTATTCAACAAGACTTTGCCATATTTTGTTCCATGCTAGCTTAGAGGGCTAGATGTCGGCTTTTCTTTCTACTCCCCGGAAGACTTCAGAAGCTCTTGGCATGGATTTTTCTCTTACACGGTTCAAACCGAGAAAACATCGCAATCAATGTCCACTCACGGGCTACCAGGCTACCAGAAATGGAGCTGGACAATACTCCAACGTGCCCTGTCAGTAGCTGGTAATGTAGCTGGTATAGTTTGAGGCTGTTTGAGGTGTCGAGTTGAACTTGTCAATCTTGTATATCCAGGGCCTAGGGCTGTGCCTGCTTCCCCCATCCACCTGCCAGCGGAGACATTTTGTTCAAACCAAACACGACATGGAAATGGCAATCATCCCTGCATCCCTCAACAAATAGTCACTGTTGCAAGGTTTGGAGAACAGCGAACAGCCAAAGATAGTTGCAATGTTTTGTAGCATCCCAAACCAACGCCCTGCTGCTTTGCTGCCTTCAGCTTCTTGAGATTCTCTTGATCCTTGCTCAGGCTGGCGTCTGAAAAAAAAGGTATCAGGTCTCCACGCTACTGCGAGGATGTGACATGGCAGAATTCACATCCGATGATCACAGCCCATTAGTAACAGTGGTAACGCACCAAAATCTCCTTGACAAACACGAGGTTCTTCGCTTCAGTGTCCGGCAAGACCATGACTGAAAAAACAACAGTTGATGCTTGATCAATGAAGATCTCTTCCCTTCTGTTCGGCCCTTTTGGTCCGATGGTGAACATGCCCCTTCAATCCCCCCCACTCGTGAAGACATACTGTAATTCAGACCAAAAGATCCGGGATTGCGGATTCAAATTACAATTAAGGACCAACATCATTAAGGCATGATGAGGCATGACAAAGACATATATAATATATTATTAATATACTTAAGAACTCAGGGGGCACTGAAGATGGGAGGCATTTTCGTCATCAGAATCAAACTCCTAACGACTCATACCACTCGCCCCGGCACCGCAGGCGACTGGTGCTCCCCAGGCCCGCCTTCTCCAGGACCAGCTTGGCCTCTTTGTGTTCAAATTGTGCCTTCTCCCACTTCGTCACCTGAGTGCATCAATTTCATGAACATGCCTTAGAATACCTAAACGGCAGCAGCAGCAGCAGGAGGAGGAGGAGGAGGCGGAGTAGGAGTAGGAGTAGGAGTAGCAGTAGTAGGAGCAGTACAGTAATAGTACGTAGGGTCTTCCTCGCTACTGCCACCACCACTGATACCACTGTGTCTGATACCACTGTGTCACTGCTTCCCAGTGGACAAGAAACTTTTGCGGTTCACCTTGGAGTTTAGAGGTTGATAGTTTAATTATGTGCTTTGTTTTCGTCGTCCCACCGTGGTGCCCAGGGACTGCTTGAGACATCTCTTCGCTCAGTTGACGCTTGCCTTCCTTCTTCATCTCTTCCAACTTCTCATCAATGCCTTGCTGAGAAGCAGAGTCCGACAATTTGCACCACATGTCAAACGGATGAAGACTCGGCCCATCATGTCGTCATGTCAGTTCAAACTTGGGTCAACACAGGTAGATTTATGTAGATTTATAAATTTGCTGCAGAAAGAGTTGATTGCAAATAACTTATATAACTTACCCGTTGTAGCTTTGTTGTATTTGGGCCTCCTGCATGATCTGTAAACTGTAAACTCAAGTTGTGTTGGTCACTTGGATTGCGAAGTTCCCTGATCAGGCTTGAGCCGGTGGTTCGATGCTTCGATGGCTTGAGCCGGTGGTACATTGGAGGATCTTCAAGGCTGCAGCACAAAAACTAATATCATAATTGGAGCCTGGCCGGGCCTGGCCCAACAATGTATGTGAAAACCGGCAGCCCGATGCGGCCGGGAATTGATCCACTATTCAACTAAGTCTTACTAAGAACAAACAGGACACAGGCTAGAACTACATAAGCGGAGGCGAGTACATACGTCTTGCACTCTCGTTCGGTACGCCTCATACGTGGACAAACATGGACAAACGCAAACCAGTTTGAAGAACTTTCGGGAAGTATCGCAGTCTCTTCGTTTGCTTGCAAACCATGTCTGCAGCCATTCGAGGATGTGCGCGTCGAGCAAAAGCTTTTGCTGGAAATTGGACTGTGTGTCCATGGCTGGCCTTTGCTCCAATTGCCTGTTCATTGCCGCAGAATGACCATAGAGATAAACTACTCTTGTTCTTAAACAATGGATGATTGATGATTGCAAAGACAGGACTGAAAAGGTTTGCATACACACTCTGCGCTCACACTGTGCCTTTGCATACATGCTCTCTCTCTCTCTCCGGAATGCTGCCAACCCGAGAAACGACGGAGAGTCCGGTGTCGAACACCGAGGTAGGTCCCTTCTTCGAAATCCAAACAGTCGCATCACAAGGCTGTCAGTGATTGGACAAAAGGCTGTCGACCTCGGAAAAAAAAAAAAAAACGATGAACAACAGCAGGGTAGAAAGCAAGGCATATGAAAACCAAAGGTCTTTGCTGGGCTCCTCTCCTTTTTGAGATTAAACGCCAAATACACACCAAGCTGCGCTTCAAGTACTTCTTAGGTCGCTTTCGATTCATTCTGACACTCGGATGCCAGTTCTTCTTGGTGTGCTTGTTATGGTACAGGCCTGACATCGCTTCGCGCAGGCATCGCGAAGCGAGATTCAGGCTTTCGTCCGGACCCTTCTCTCGGGTTGACGGACCAGGGATCCCTCACAAAAAGCCACTGGTATCCCTGTCACATCAATGTATTGAGCAAACAGTCACCACCATGAACACCAGGTCCACAGAGTTCGACGACAGCACGGCAGCTTCCTTGTTTCGGTTTGGTGACTACCGATGGTACCAGGGCACCCCTAATCAAAGGATCCGGATAATTATTCATTGGACATCGTTGGATATGAATATGATGTAGCAGGATGCAGCAAGTAACAATCCCAAACACTCCATGTATGTCATACATGCTTACATTGGGGTGGTTTGGGGGGGTCAATGTAGGCATACAGTATATGGCAGTCCAATGGAGTGTCCGGGAATTCCAAACAGTGTTGCAGGACGATTTCGTATGGATGTGGCACACTCACCGTCTTGGATGTTGGACAAGTCCTCTCATACGCTCGACTCACTAACAGCATCCCCCCAAGCAAGCACGAAAGCTACACTCCGAGTCACGTTACATACACCCCCCGTTTGGTCTGATTTCATGGTCAGGGGCCGGATCACATGCTGCCATCCACGTGGGCACATATAATGTGTTCCGAGGGTCATGTAGACTCTTGATTCACAAACTCTCCCCCATACTAAGAAGAGGTTTCTCAATCCAAATGGGGTCCCGTCACACCTGTTGACAAGTGGTGTCATTGTAGGGGCGCGTTGACCCCGAAAGTGCGTGCATTCGTGCATGGGGTGAGTGATGGTGAGTGTTATTTCATCAGTCTACTGAGTCTACCAAATGGGGTGAGTCCGACTGGGCGCTTCACCAACGCCTACGCCCACCCCGGCCACACCCAGCGGCGCGCCTCCGAGGCTGACTTCTGGCGCGCCCCATCGAGCCTGGGAGACCCGATCTGGTCTGGTCGCGACGGGTTGAGGTCAGAGATGTCCCACTTGGTGCTTAGGTGAGGGTCTGAAATCAAGAACGGTTTGAAGGAAGAGAGAGAGAGAGAGAGACAAAAAGGGAGGGAAAAAACTGTGCGTCAAAGAAACTGTGCCTTCGAACATCGATTCCTTTGGTTGAACGAGGGAGCTTGACCAAATCCCTTCCAGAGTGTTCCGTTTCCGTCGCTTCAACACATGATTTGTTCCTTCGCTGCATAGCTAGGTTGAGTTCAGCTGATCGATCCGGTTCCAGGTGATCCATCCCTCAAACACTCGATCCGGGTGAATCTCCAACCATGTTTTCCTTGACATCATCCGATTTCATCATGTTCTCGGACTCTACGGTAAAACAGGGTGACCTTGTATGAAAGGAATATATTTGAACAAATATATATATATATTATACAGAGGCCAAACACAATGGCTGAATGTCTCGCAACTAAGCTATTATACAATATTATACACATCCATCTTCTCAGGCACTGAAGACTCCAACAACCGAAGGCTCCTCGATCACCTCTTCTTCCGAACCGCGCGTTGAGCGCGCGTGCCGCGCCCGTGGCGTCGCGCCGTGGCTTCGGGGCCTCGTTCCGGTAGTCCACGGTGTCCAACTCCACCGAACTCTCGGATTCCTCGGCCTCCTGGCGCCGAAGAGGAGCCGGCTGGAGGCTGAGCACTGGGACGGGGCCTTACGGTGGATGTGTGCTTTTGTTACATGTAATATCCTGTGAGGTTCTGGACGGGGGGTTCTCCGGGGACTTCAGCATCATCGGGGACGTCGGGGACATCGGGGACTTCAGCATCACAAAATTGTCATCGATCACAACACTGTCATCGATCACAACATTGTGAACGATCACAGCATTGTCATGACCACAACATTGTCATCGATTAGTCATGTGTTAAAAATGGGGTGAGTGAGGGGTAAGTTCCCCAAAGCGGCAGTGAACTACACTGGACCTGATTGATAACACCAAGTAAGACCCAATAGACTCGATAGCGGAGTGTGGAAGTGTGCGAACGGCAGAGAGCACACTTTTCTTTGGCGAGCGGTGCAATTGCGGGCTCTAGTGGTCTTGAGCCAAAAGCAACATGAATTTTGCTGTTAAGCTGACTGAAGAGTATATGTACAACTAACTACGAACAACAGGTGCTACACACGTATAGCGTAGACACGCCTATAGTGGACCTAGGACCCTACAAATTCCAAACAGACACAAATGTTCTTCGTGTCGAAGCTTACGGCTGCAAAACAGTACAACATGAAATGCAAGTGATCAGACAAAAAAAGGGCTGACTATCAGACATAGTTTTTCTTTTGGCCGTGCAAATGTACCGCGGTTTACACTGTAAAAAGCATCATATCCATTTGTCACTGTCACTGGTGCCAGCAGTATTGTTGAGGGCTTTTTCAGTATGAAATGCGATATGCAAAAAGCATGAAGCCACACCTTGATTGAGGGGATGTTAAAACCACCTTGTCCAAATCTGGCATTACTCTGTTCATATTGGACTTCTTCGCGGGGATTCAAAAGTTTGTCTTTGCACTTTTCCGATGCATCAAAGCAATCGCGCTTTATCAGAAACACAGGCAGGCTCCGCGTTTTCGACCCGTCTGACGTTTGCTTGTGCTGTTTTCGCCCGGAGAACCCCCCGTCTGCAGCCTCGTGTGATTATTCTATTGAAAAATGGAATGCAATATTGGGAAACTCAAAAATCAGCCTTAGGGGTGAAAAGTTACTGGGCAATGCCACTATATCCTGAGTAGAACAATGCACTTTTATACTTGTTATTTATTATGAGTCTCAGGATTATCCATGACGTATCCTGAAGTTTGAAGGGAGTAAGGCCTTGCGATATCCATCAATACCCATTATAAGGTGAATCCCAGCTGCAAGTTAGAATGCCTTTGCATGGATTTCCCAAAAAAGTTCAAAAACCTGAAAACAACAGTATAACTGTTTTTCGGGGCATTCTAAGTTTCAATGCTATCCTTTGGAAAAAAGTCAGCATTCTAACCGTCAGAGTTGGAATATATATATATATATATAAAAACTCACGGCCGAATCTTTTCACAACGCTCCGCAGTTAATCACA